GCAATTTTGTATCCCTTTCAGCTTCAATAATCGTTAAAGTGTTACGTTTCAACAAGACGCAGCAACCTTGAGAAATAATTTTAGTAACCGCGGGGGACCAATCACCATTTTTATTATCTCACTTTTTTTTTTTACTAAATTCACCTCACCCGATCCCATTCACCCCATTAGGAACTGCGCTAAGCAAAATGCTGGTAGATTTAGTTTGTTTAAGCAGAAAACAAGAGAATTAAAAAAAAAAAAAAAAATAAGATGGACCATAATTTATAAAACGTGATATTATATTAGTAACGAAATAACGTTCAGCGAGCGATGAGAGATGAGAGATGAGAGACCGGAGATACTCGGGGGGGAAAGCAATTAAACGGTATAATGGTGTTAATTATCATACAACTACTGTACTGTTGGCTGCTGTCTCTCAAAAACTTTTTGCTACTGAAAAATTATACATTATATTTCACATCATCATCATCATCATCATCATTTCATTTTAATTATATACATATTATTTTGTTCTTGCCGAGGATTGGATGAACTTGAAACACTTGAAAAATATTTCCGCGACCGGAACAAGCATACAAGGCTAATATTTTTTAAATTAATAAATAAATAGATTAATTATATAAATTCCTAAAATTATTTAATACATTCAACGAATATAAATTTTAAATATAAAACTAATCAAAATTAATAATGGAAGATGATTCCATTGAGTATAATTATTTCCATGTAAAAAAATCCCTTGTAGGTGTAACATCACATCATAATCATATTACTATTGTTATTATTATTATTATTATTATTATTATTATTATATCCTCAATCATCATCCTGGCGTATTATATAAAGGCTCCTGTCATTTATATATATATATATGTTTTTTTTCATATGTTGTCTGTTGCTCCTTGACTATTTTATTATTATTATTAATTTTTTTCTTTTCCTTAGAAATTTATAACTCACCGCAGGTCAAGAGGATTCGAATCAATTGGTGAGGTATTTTCAATGGGTTTCTCGGTCATAAAGACTATACACTATATATCGTATAATACACTTATATCGTATTGTGTCGTCTTTTATAAAATGACAAAACCTTTAAAGAGCATATCAGCCCTCACACAGTGATTTATATTATATATACATTGTACATATAGATCCAATAAACTCCTCAATGAGTGCCATGCGTGAGACTGCGACAATTTTTGACTTTACATAAATCTAGGTATACTTACAAAATACAGACAACTTTACTATTACTCCAATAACAAAAGAAGAAAAAAAAAATAAAACATTTATCGCTCTTGAAAATTCTATACACGATATGACACGTGTATATATACAATATTCTCAAGAGTTCTTACTTTAAATAATAGAGTATTTCGAAGAATAAAATTCAGTTTTAGCAAAAGTTTACTTGAATCATCAAATCAACTGTTTATTTGTTTGTCGATAATAATATAACTTAATTATTTTAAACCATATTTTATATTGAGATATATGCGGGTGGTTTATTCATATAGTGAATATTTTTTTAAACACAGTCTAAATATAATATTGTTCACTCAATTTAGTTCACATATTTATAAACCATTGTATTTTTTTTCAATGTATTTAAAAAAAAAAAAAAAAAAAAAAAAAAAAAAAAAGTCGTTATTTTAAAAAAGAAATATCACTCTAAGTAAAATAATTAGTTAACAATAATTGATCATTTGGAAAAAAATAAATGAATGAATAAATGTATAAATAAATATCTTGACGGATATATAAATGGTATCGGTGTTTGGTCAGTATTTAAACTATATATATATATTAATATATTATATGTAAGTATGTTTGTTACGATTTAGTATCATCAGCCAAGTTTATCATTATGTTTTAAGTGTGTATGTGTATCATACAGTTTACAGTATTGGAAATATATGTATGATATATAATATAGAATATATGGTAGTTTATTTAAATGAAACGTTAATTGAATTCAGATCGCTAATGAGCCGCATATGATAATGAGTGTTGAAATTATACTGACCAAGATGATGATAATATTGTATGTGTATAAAACCAGACAAAACCAACGATGCATTATTATTCAGAATACAAATAAGTAGTATGACCAATCACCTAAATAATTAATTTTTTAAAATATTACATTAATATACTATCTTATTTAAACTAATTTTTGGATTAACTGTTTTTTATGATATAGATATAGATATACAATCAAATATAAAATAATAATGATAAAAACAATTTTTGACAAACTCTTAAGTAATATACATTATATAGTTATATTGTTATATAGTGAGTGATTTTAAGTCTTGAGAGGAGATGATAATCAATGCGTAATTAGCTTCCCAAGTCTGCTTTCAACGCTCCAACTCATTCCCAAGTTATTTGCACCCAGACTAAATTCTCTTTTGGTTCTTACTCATTCTTATTCTTTTTCTTTTTATTTATTTTTACTTTTTACTTATACCACAAGTGAATAAATATATCCAACATATGCAACACATTTACAAATAATAAGTATAATGATAAAATTTGATGTTTTCTACATCTTATATTCATTATCATCATCATCATCATCATCATGTTCTTTTATTATTTATTTATTTTATAAATTAGGAGTAATAACCGAGACTTTTATAATAATAATAATAATAATTATGTATATATGAAACTCATTATTGACGCTGACGCGTATGACCCCGAGGGTTTAAAAAAAATATCGAGTTTAATCTTATTTAATTACTGCGTTTGATTAATTAATTAAGAAGACGCCTTGAATATGTCAAGTGTAAAAAATATAAGATGCGATATTATTATATATTATGATGATTTATCACTTATCAGTAATATATTAAACATTTATTATTTTTATTATTTCCAATTACAATAAGCTATAAATATAAACTCGAGAATTATCAATTAACACTTATCCTCAATTAACATTTAAAATAAATATTAATATACATAAAATAATAAATATAATAATTATATTTACTAATATATATTGATAAATTATATATATTATATATATATATATATATATTTTTGTTTTTAAAATTTATGGAGGTGTTAGTCCAGTGATTGGACTAATGAGCCAACATCACACGAGAGACAAGATTACTTTTTTTATTATTTTTTTGTATCAATTAAATTCTGCGGATTAGTTCTTATTATTATTATTATTATTCTGCTACTACTCGGCTTACTATAAATAATACGATAGCTATGAGTTTCAAACATAATAATCAGATAGCCACCAGCACACAGATATATAATGATAATAATGATGATGATGATGATGGCTTAGAAAAGACGGAAGATGATATTGTATATAATGTAATGATTATCCCGAGTGATGAAAGAGACATATTTATGTTGTCTCATAATAAAGGTGACCGATTAGCGATTTAAATAAAAATGGATAATATAGGTAAACATGAGTGTGTGTGGGGTTATTGGTTGGTAAAAGACAAAAACCCGAAAACAGATAACATGAGACAAAAAGGAGTAGCGTTCTACTCGTGTAGGATTTTGGCGTTTGGCGTATATGGTATATGGTATATGGTATTAAATTGAGGATACACGGGTAAGATGAACGGTACGGAAAGAAAGAAACGAAACGAAACAGTAAGGCGGCGGCAGACATAAAAAATTCGGAATATTTATGTTTGGTATTATTAGCGTGCGTCGGTGATATCTTAGTGGGCATCGCTAATTAGCTCGCGAGCGCTTGCCCGGTTGACTTTCGGGCTTTCGGCAAACAGTGCTCGCTACTGTCTCTCCGTTTCTCCTGTATAATCAAGATGGTGGCGCCAAACCGCCTGGGGCGGTCGATTCCCAAACTAATTGCCTCGGCTAATTTATGCTCCAACACAAATATACACACATATATATATAAGTATATATGTATACATCACCAACATTCCTCTTCTTCTTCTTCATCTTCGTCTTCTCTTTTTTTTTTGTATTTCTTGCTTCTTATCTTTATCCTTCTCTCTCTCAATCAATCCTTATCGGTTTTTAAAATCTCTTTGAATCACAGAAATAATCTTTACTGCCTCTCATATACATATATTATAAATTTCCCCGTTTACCCTTAACTCTCATGTTCTCGCTTTTAACTTATTATTAATACATCTAAACTATTTATCTTCTAGTTGACTCTTTCAGTTCATTTACTACTAACCAATTAATACTATATTTAAATATCATACGTTAGTACCATAGTGTTAACAACTAATTAAATATATGAATTATGTATCCGCATATCACATATTATACTTAAATTATAAATATCATTCAATTTTATCATTATTTTGACAAAAAATTTTTATTTATTATATTTTCATTCATTTAAATATATATATTCATTATCATTACTATATAATTTTTATCTTACACATATCTATTTATAATTGTAATAATAATAATAATAATAATTATTATTATTATTATTATAATCATCAAGATGTACAGTTGTAATTAATGTATATACAATATAAGAAAAAAAAAAAAAAAAATAAAAATGGATGATGATGATGATGATGATAACTAATGATATATAATATATGTATATAGTGTGTATGTAATTATAAACTTTGTATTAGCTGAGCCAATGTTATACATGATAACTTATTTTAATATTTATATATATATATATATTTACACAATTATTATTTAAATATTTTATACAGAACAATTAAGTAATTTTTTAACTATTTACAATTATTATTTACATGGTTATGTTAATAAATATTTTATCTGTGGTAATAATAATGATTCAAAATAGTTGGATCGACTATTGAAAAAACTAATTATTTATATAAATTTAACGTTGTTGTTGTTGTTGTTGTTGTTGTTGTTGGTATATAGTTGAAAGTGGATAGAATTTTATTGTCTGAATGATAAACAGAGTGCATCGTGTGAACCAATCTGTCTTGTGTTGTTATTATTATTATTTTTATAATAATGATTTAAAATAATAAAAGAGTTTATTCTCTGGCCGAATGGGGCGAAACAGTATGGTGAGGTGAAATACCAACAGCAGGATGAGACAACATGCCGACGGGATATAGTGCTGCTGCTGGGCCAAGAAGTCCGTGATGTCCACCGTACAGAGAATTATGATGTTGTCTTACTGCTGACATGCGCAATTTTTCTATTTCAGCCTCTTGTAATCGCTTTGCCTTGGCCCGTCGATTTTGAAACCAAATTTTTACCTAAATAACAAAATTATAATTAACATATCTAAAAAATATTAATAATTAAAAGTAGTTACAATAACAATAAATACCTGAGTTTCAGTTAGGTGGAGAGAGGATGAAAATTCAGCCCTTTCAGCAACACTGAGGTACTGCCTTTCCCGAAATTTTTTTTCCAAAGCAAGCAATTGTTGGGTCGTAAACGGTGTCCGTGGTTTACGGTTAGGTTTGTGCTTTCTAAGATTACACTTTATTTTGGCGGGTTCTCCATGCTCTGCAACAACATAAAAACAATAAAAAATTTATATAATATTATTATAAAAGAAAATTAAAGAGGAAATGAGTAGTATAATAATTTTTTATCAGACGTTCCAAAATGAGCGCGACAAGAAAGGTGTATAAAAATTATTATTATTGTTGTTGTTATCTGTATATATTAAACTGGAATGTTGATTTTTTAATATTTAATATTTTAAAATTTTTTTATTTATTGGTCGTTTGGTTGGTTGGTTGGTCAGCCGCTTACACTCATTCTATATTGTAGTTATTATATACTTGTGCTGCTGGTTAATATAACGATATAATATAACCGAGAGTTGAGAAGCAATTTATAATTTTCCGGAGCAACAACAGCCCAGCAAACGTTTACTCAGAGATCGTCTTGTGGCCATTAGCTTTTTTGTTCCACACGAACCACGACCACAAATTCCGGCCGTGAAACTCCTACGTCCTGCGAGAAACTACTACATCTTTTTAATTTTTTCAAAATTTGTATAATAATAACTTTAAATATAATCATAATTTAAAAATATTGTCATGTGTGTAAATATTATGGTGTTATTGATTTATTTGAGTGGTTATACGATTGACAATAAAGATTGATTCAGCAGTAGGATCAATTGATCATCAGTCACAACCAAGATTGTAACCAGTAACCGGTAACCGGTAAAAGATAAACGGTAAGATTGGATCCCATATCATTGGATCGTTAAACTTAAAAAGAGAATCATCATAATGAGAGTATAGAAAAGACAAGTTAAAGGCAGGTAATAATTTTAATTGTATGTGTGTGTGTGTGTTTGTGTGTATATAGAGTATATAGAATGGGGACTGCTGTTGCACCCACGGCGGCCTCGCTAAGGGCCCAATTAGTCTCCAGCAGTCTCTGGCATTCGAAGCCTCCTGCGGGCCACCAGCCAAAAACGTCCCGAGTCCCGAGTCCCGGCATCACAGAGACCCCGCTTCAGCTCATCCGATTATTTAAGATATAACTTGGCAATCGCGCGTAGCAAAGGCAAACCCAAACCCAAAACCAAACTATACAACATTCAGTATCAACCTTATTCATCCTCTATATATCTACTACTTTCTCTCTTTCTCTGTCTACTCTAAAACGTTTCTACTACTACGACCAACAAAATCTATATATGTATATGTATAAACAAACAACATACTGTGTAGAGCATATATATATATATATATACAAAGAGGATCAGACGAACCCATTCGAAATAATTAGCTGATTTCTTGGAGATAGTACAAGTTCCACGAAGCAACTCCTTGGCTACCCGTCTTAACGTATATCCTCACTTTATTTATATTTATTTATTTATTTATTTATTTCTAAACACTACACACGTATATGATAAAATAACTTATTTAATATGTAATGAACAACTTTTATAAATTCTTTCTCACCAATAAAAGTTACAGAGTTTATTATACTTGAGATATTGCGCGTGAATAAAATTCACCGACCCCAGTTTTTTGGTAGGATATAACTAACTACCTAATATATACCCAAAGACGCTAGCGAAAACTCCAAAGAACGAAAGAACGAAAGAACATGATTCTCATTATTTATCTTCTCAAGATCGCAAGACTTTAACGGTTAAATAAATGGCGATAAAAGTTTTAAGTGACTTTTCAGTTTAGAGAGGGTTCCTCTTATTCTCTCAACTTTACTTTACTCTGATGTTATATATTATTTAAATTGAAAGTACATATAAAAAAAAAATTTTAAACAAACCATTGAGAGGTGCATGATGAGAAAAATGTGATGGAAAATAGCTGGCAGCAGCAGCAGCAGCAGCAGCAGCAACTGTCGCAGCAACAGATCTGTGATGACTAGTTTGTCCGGTAGTACCCCAAACAGATGGATGAAGACTAGCTGGTAATCCGAGTATTGATCCGAGTGTCGAAAACCCGGTAACGTAAGCCGGCATCGGTCTTACCGGTGTTGGGCTTTTAGATTTTTGCTGCTCCAAATCTTCAACGTCTACCAAACACCCTTCATCATCATCATCATCATCCTCCTCCATATCCAATTCAGAACATCTCGATTGTCGTTCCTCGTGAGATGAGCTTATCGGTGACTGAGAACCAACCATAAACATATCTGACACCGACAATTGCTGTTGAGGGGTCGATTGGTTCATTTCCACAACCCCTAAAGAGCATTCATTATTATTATTATTATTATTATTATTAATATTTGGCGATAGTGATAAAGATGAGGTAGTTTTATTTATTCTATTGATGGTAAAAATATTATTATGATGATGATGATGATGATGATGATGATGACGATGATGATTGTGATAATAGTCAGGGAATCGACCGTCGGTTGATACGTTTAACACTTGAGACGTTGAACACAATTGTTTTTCATTAACCGGCGATAAATTATCTGTTACTCTTACTCTTATTATAGAATCACTACAGCTACTGTCACTAATAACTCCGTCTTGTCCGTCTATTTCGTCTGTTGGTGAATGTGTATTACGATTATTATTATTATTATTATTATTGTAATATGAATTAACTGTCGTAGTGAATGATTTGTGATTATTTGAGGATAATAGTGATATTCGGGGAAACAATGGCTGTCGATGAAATTGACTTGTGGGACTGGAGTATGACACCATGGATGATGATGATGATGATATTGGTGATGAACTTGGTGACGGATGATAGACAACAGATAATTTTTTAGATGACACAACTAGAGGACATGATAATGATGAGGAAGAACAAGTACCTTCTTTTTTATCTTTTTTATCTTTTTCCTTTTCATCAAATACTAATTGTAGTTGTCTGTTGTTTGTTTTTTTAGTATCAGCGAGAAGGGCTGCTACCGAAAAACTCAATGGTTGTCGTGTCGACGATGAGGATGACCTAGATGATGCCTGTTCAAGTGCCTGAGCATGCTCAGGTGAGCTCGGACTCGTTGACGGAGACGTCATTGGTGAGCTTGTCATTCTTAAAACTGTCATTATCTTATATTTATAACAATGTTTTTTTATTATTTATAACTTTTATTCCAACAATCACTTTTTATCATTTAAAAATATTATTATTTTTTATCATTTCTTTTAAATTTAACACATTTAATATTTAAAATAATTATTATAATGACACTATCACTTATTACAGTAATCACTTATTATTATTAATAATAATAATAATAATAATAATAGAATAGTCACAGTTGAATAGATATAACATTATTGAAGATTATTATAATTAAAAATAAATAATGTGGAATGTGGGATAGATGTTTACGATACAAGCTCTGAGAGTAGACTGACCGAGCTACCGAGTATCCTGATGATGCAGACAGTAGGCAGTAGGCACCAGGCTCCAAACAAAAAAAGTTTTTTCCTACCACCGTCGGTTTTAATGCTTCGATCCACCACGAGCTCACGAGAGTACACTATCTGACCGTATAGAACTGGGATACAGACAACTAGTCGTAGTAGGGGACTCTCAGCTCTCAGCTCTCGGCTCTCAACTCTCAGTAAAGGAAAGAGAATACAAGATATATATTATTCGCGTCCATAAGGCGTTCCAACAGATTCTAGGGGTGTGTTTTCATCTCGTATACGCCCCTTTCATCATCACATTAACTTTATACATTCAACATTCAACATTCAACATTCAACTACCAACTCTTTATATATACAAATACATACACACACACACACACATACCTATAGATATATTATTATAAAATAAGTAAGACAGAAATGTACAACTTTGCCATCATCATTATCATAATCATGAGTAGTAATAGCAATATCTGTTATAGAGACCCCGCTAGTAGTAGTGGTAATATAATATATAATCTAGAAAATATAGATATAAAATTTACACTAGTAGTAATATCAATAAGAGTCAGACGTATTTTAAATAATAAAGAGAAAGGGCTAATCTAATACAGCAGTCTTAGTGGACTCTTTACTTGATGAGCTCTTCAGATCCTCGACAACTTCGACACTTGGTTATTTCAATCCTAATATGTATATCTCCCCACCGATACAATTATTGTGTTGCTTTGAGATAATATAAATTGTATATAAAATGTAAATGGTATATATACCAACAGTTAATGATATATATTATATTATTATTACTAGTAGGTATCTATTTAACGCAAGAAAAAAATAAAAGATATATAAAATGATCTAATCACTATACCTACTCGCTTCAATATTATATTATTACATCAGAGAAGTTAATGATCGCGTAATTGATCAATTAGAGTTTGCGATATTTTATTTTTATATATATGCTAAATAATAAAAAATCAATCTTTTTTATCACAATCATAAAGATAATAAAAAGAGTGAATAAATATATTTAATAATAATTTTAAGGCTATAATAATGTATATACATTGTGAATGTGAATTGTGGGTAATAAATTATTGGGATTTTTTGAAGCAAGGTCAGAGTCAATTATGTTTCTGCATACAAAGCAGCAGTCTTGACGGGTAGTTTCCGCCGTCGGAACAACTAATACTCTAATATAATATGTATATATGTATATTTGTAGGTATATTAGAACAACCAAACAGTCAGTCTGTACATGTATATATAGTATACGTCAAGGGAAACTCATACGCAATAATTAATACACACATACATACATATATATATATAATAATAATAATAATAATAATAATAATAATAATAGTGTATATCAGTCTCGTGCTCGACAATTGGTTATTTAAATCTTTAACATTAAACTGATTGTGTCAAAGATCAACGTGACAATGTCATCGGAAATGCCAGAATAATCAACATTTTTAATTTGAGTTTTATTGAAATTAGTTTTATAGTACAAAATATTATCATCATCATCACTACACATTATATATTATTAGTATTTATTCGGCGATACATAAATATATATATATATATATATATATATATATATATATATA